AAGTATGAGAAAAGGGAAAAAATGGAAACAAAGTCTTTGCAAATAGGGAAGGGTGGAGGGGGTGAAGGGAGGGCAGGGGAAGGGGAAAAAAATAAGAACCAAGATACTCATGTAAAGGTACAAGATCCCAATGATGAAGGTAAACTGTATTTTATACCTAAAACATACCAATAAACTTAATGGGAAAAATATTTTTTGAGTATGGTACATGCACATTGAAGTATTAATTTATATTTCCCTGTTATTAATAATGTTAAGCATTTTTTTCATGTTTACACACTGTAAAATGTCTATTCAATTGTTTTCTACTGTTCTGTTGGACTGTTGTTTTTTGTTGACTTGACAAATTTTTCATATGTTGAAGATGCAAGTTCTATGATTATTATATGTAGTGAATATATTTTTCTACTCTAGGGCTTACATTTTTACTTTCTTAAAAGTGTCTTTTGACTAATAATGCTCTGCAATTTAGCATACAAAAAATTATCAGACATTTTTTTCCATTGTTAACACTTTTCCAGTCTCATTTAAGAAATCTGTCTCTATCCTAAGGTCATTAAGACATGGTCTTATGGTTTTTTCCAGAAGTTTACAATGTTGCCTTCCGCATTTAGATCTACGGCCAACCTAGAGTTAAACTTTGTCTATGGGATCAATTAAAGGCAAGCTACATTTTCCCCACATGGAATTCCAGTTATCTTATCATTATTTGTTAAGAGATTTTTTTCCCACTGCTCTACAGACACCTTTGTAAAATGTATCATTCAAATAAATGAGGCTGGGGACAGTGGCAGGCAGTTATAAACCCAGTGACTTGGTAGGTTGAGCCCAAGAGTTGGTATCCAGCCCGGGCAACATAGCAAGACCTAATCTCATAATTAAATAAATAAAATAAAAATAAATAAATGTGGGGAAAGATGGGAGGAATAAATTGAGGATTTTTAGGCAAGTGACATTATTCTGATTAATACTGTAATGGTGGATTACATTAATCATTAATCATTAGACACTAGCCAAATCTCATGGCTTGTATAACACAAAAAGCGAAGCCTAATGTAAACTATGGATTTAGTAAATCATAATGTATTAATATTGGCTTAGCAACTGTAACAAATGTACCACACTAATGCAAGATGATAATAACAGGAAAATCTATGTACAGGGTGGGAGTCAGAAAGAGTATGTGTTATGGCTTGTATTTAGATGCCCTCCAAAGCCTCATGCAGTCATAGTTGGTGCTTTCTGGAGGTGGCTGAATCTAGGGTGTGTGATGCTGGGATTAAGGATGTGATGCTGGGATTAACAGTTCCATGCCAGGATTCGAGGTGCCTGGATGGACTATAAGGACAGAAAGAGGGCTACTGCCACTGCTTGCTGCTGCTGCTTTGTTACTTTGCTGCCTTTTGCCTTTTGCTGCCTTTTGCACTGTTTCTCCTCTGTGGTGCCTCTCTGCCATGTGCTACCATGCCTTAAGCCAGCCAACTATGGACTGCAACCTCTACAAACTGAGCTGAATAAACCTTTCCTCTAACTTTGGGCATTGAATATTTTGTCTCAGCAATGTAACTAAGACAGTATATAAATGAGAACTCTCTGTACATTTCACTCAAATTTCTGGCAAACCTAAAACTGCTGTTTAAAAATCAGTTGATTTTTTTAAGTGAGACCAGAAAAGAAGGGGGAAAAGTAAATGTAAAAAATAACAAATATCAAAGAACTAGAAGGAAATACAGATAATGAAATACATAATTTAAGAATAATAAACTTCATCAGAGTAGATAAAAAAACTATGACTCAAAAAGGAAACAAGTAATATACCACCAGAAAATGAGCAAAAGATAGGACTAGATTATGTTTTAATAGAGGAAAAACAAATGGTCAGTACATAGAAGAGTGTTCAGTCACATTAATAATGAAGGGTATACAGTTTAAAATTGTGAAATTCCATGTTTTCATTTATGAAATTGGCAAATATTTGAAAAATGTTTTAGTATATTAATTAAGGGTGGTAAGGTGGGAGGGGCCAAATAGACACTTTCATATATCAGTAATAAGCACTGAAAATTGAGATGACCTTTGACAAGAAAAACAATATCCAAAACTTAGAGGCCAAAATACAATTACTCAGGGCCAGGGATTTAGCTCAGTGGTTTTGCCGCCTGCTATGCAAGCGCAAGGACCCGAGTTCGATCCCCAGTACCAAAAAAAAAAAAAATACAATCACTCAGTTTTTGCTTTCATGCTAGGATACTTCCTAACAAGTCCACCTAAGAGTCAATAGTTCCAAGGTAAATTGAACTTTGACTTGTTATTGTTGATTTGCATATTTTGCAGGTATAATTGCTAACCCATAAAAGATGGATAAGATGCTCATATTTTTGTTCAAAAGAGATAGAAGTAATTTTTGTCCTGCATAAATGAAAATGATTTCTTATTTTTAAATAATGATAGTACCGGGCCGGGGATTTAGCTCAGTGTTTTCGCCGCCTGCTGTGCAAGCACAAGGACCCAAGTTCAATCCCCGGTACCAAAATAATAATAATAATAACAAATGATAGTACCAAAGGTCATGGTTTATTATCCTATAGGACATTAATAAAGTTTATCTTGTTTAGCACATTTTGGAATAATTTCAGTATTCTCTGTTTTCTTACACCTATATCTTTCTTTGAACCAGTCTTCTTATCATGTTGGCAATGAATATATTTATTATGCATCACAAACACATACTAATAAAAAGGGAGGAAGAAAAAATGAATTAAAATTAAAACATGACCTGTGCTTACCTTGTTTGTATGAGAACTGTTATTTAGCAGTTTGAAAACTATATATTTGACACTATATAGGAGTATAGTTTGGTCAAATATTTTAAGTCTCAAATTTTTACATGCTGTTTTACCTAGCAATTGCACGTCTAAGAATTGATTCCCAGAAGTTAAGAATATGCTCAAAGATTTGGATGGATGTGCTGTATGCATTACTGAAATATCACAAGAAATATGCAACATTATGGTCTGGTTAACCTCAATTTGTTCAAAGAATGATTGTTTCCAAGTAAGTGAAATTTTTAATTCTAAAATTCTTTTATTTATTCATATTTTCTATGAAACTTTTAAAAAAAAAAGAGAAAACATTTAAAAGTCACAAAGCCTAGTTATATTGTTTTTTTCCATTCTTGTTAACATCTGCTAAAGTATTTAGCCCCTAGCTGTAGTTTTTCCTTTTATTCAAATTTTTTATACTATCTCAGGAAACTTCCTAGTCCTTAAGCAGGAACAAATGATGCAATACTTTAGCTTTTTAATTCCTTAATATCTCATTTTCCAGTGACCTTTACATCCTCTTCAGTTCTGTATCAGTACAAGATATCAGTAGTACCTTCCCTCAGAACATGACAAAAAATATCTCCAGATATTGCCAAATGTCTCCTGTGGACAATATTACCCGTAGTTGAAAACCACTGATCTAACAAACCTGCTAATTTTTGATATCTAGGTTTTCTGTTTTGTCACAGTTTAAAACAGTGGTGCTTTTGAACCATAGCATTACACATACTATGTAACCATATTATGTACACATAATATACATAGTATACATTTTGCACATCTTTAATTACTTCTGTAACATAAATTCCTAGCAAGGAATAATACATTTAAAATTTTAACATCTATTCCCAGACTGTTAAAGAAGAATGCTGTCTCAAACCGGTGGTTTCAAACTTTCTGTGTTCACCCTATCCTTGCACTGTCCTTATTACCCCGACAGGGCTCCTAAAATCCACTGTGTTTGTGTGTGGTGTCTTTCAGTACTGGGTGGCTCACACTACCAACCACCTCCAGGTTTCGGTGGTCTGTATTCTCCCTGGTGCAAACACAGACCACCCCTTCCTTCCACAATGCAGCGTTTTGGTAAGAGAGAACTGAAGTCGACTAGGAATGGCTGGATCGGATTTGTAGCAGTGGCTCTGCTTTCTTTTCCATGTGAATTTGCTTTCAACTTGAATTTGATTTGTCAAATCTCATGTAACATATAAATTTGTTGGAAATTTTCTGACATTCTACATTTGATAGCATTTACAACTTACACACACACACACACACACGCACACACGCGCGCATTCTTTCAAGTCCATGCTGTTACAGACTTGGGCGGCTGACAGGGAGTGTCCCCGCGCGGTTCAAAGCCCTGCGGGCTCAGCTGAGGCGCATCCCTGGCTGATATCAAGACACACCTCCCACCTGGGGCCGGCAGAGTCTCCCAGAGGCAGCTCCTTGGCTAGTAGTGCCCAGCCTCCCACCTGCACTGGCAGCAGCACCCTGGACGTGGGCGGTCCTCCCAGGTGCTAAGGCGGTGGAGGCCGCGCCCAGGGCTTGCATGGCACCCTATTGGGCCGCCAGATGTCAGGGGCGGGGCCCGGGAGCGCCCGCCCCGCTGACCGCGCTATAACTGCGGGCCTCTGCACGCAGCCGCAGGCTCGCAGAGACGCGCGCCTGAGCCCGGGTGAGATGGGTGCGTGGGCCAGCGGGCGGCGGAGGAGCTGGGAGAAGTAGCAGGGGAGCGGGAGGGGCTGGCGGCTGGCGGCTGGCGGCTGGCGGCTGGTGGCTGGTGGAAGGCACTGGCGGGTGCCGGTCTTTGCATCACCCACTGCACTAACTCCCGAAAGTGCTGCTTCCAACTTTTAACCCCCTTGAGAAGCAGGCAGAGTTGAGTGTCTAAAAGACTGAGATCAAAGTGCTGAGCGGATATGAGAATGCCCCCCACTTTCCTTAGTCTGTTCTCAGCTTTATTCTCATTTTTATTCACCTCTAGAAAATGGACTTCGCGTGCCTGTGGCTAGCGCTTCTGCTGCCTTTGGTAGCGGCGCTGGATTTCAGATACCACCACCAGGAAGGGATGGAAGAGTTTTTGAAGAGTGTTGCCCAAAACTACAGTTCTATCACTCACTTACACAGCATTGGGAAGTCTGTGGAAGGTAGGGTCTGTCTCATGCACAATTTCCCAAGCTCTCAGTCCTCCCTCTCATTCATTAAACCTGCCCCCCCCCCCCATGAAGCTGCTCTGACTGGCGCCAAACAGGTAAACCAGTGCCTCCTGTTTCCCGGTTGTTTCCTGGTTTTGTTTGCTGTTTTATTTTGTTTTGTCAAGGGAGGAGGAGGAGGAACTAAATTTTATTTAACTTTATTGTAATTCAGGGTAACTGAGTACTTTGCATTATTGGAGCTCTGCCTTTTTAAATTTTACATTGTTTATCTGGGATGTGTATTTTAGTTCCTTTTCAAGATAAACGTTTCCCATGGAAGTCTGGGGTTTTTTGTTAGCTTCTTTAAATATGATTTGCACTACTAGTATAATTTTTTTCGAGTTGCTTTTAAATTAAAATGGCGCAGTTTTGTTAGTGAAATGCCTGTGTCATATATAATTAGCCCTAAGGCTTTAGCTTATACTGGGGAAAAAGTGACTCTATGAGTAAAGGTTGCTTTTTAAATGCATTCATTTGAAGAAAACAATCGCTAGATAATACATATGTGAGCAATGACTGATACTCTGCCTAGTATTTTCACGTCTGTCGTTTTTTTAAATTTAGAAACCATATATATTATATACACACACACACACACACACATGCACATACATTCTCACTTTTGGAGACAGCAAATTTGAATCATAGAAAAACTTAAGTATTCAGACTCACCCAGTGAATTTTATAGCCAGGGTTAGCACCCAAATCATTTTAGTCAAGGCAAATAATTTTATCAGATATTATTTCTTAATTTTCTTTTATTATATTGATAACCCCAAAGACAGTGACAGAAAACTTAATGCTTGAGTTTAAAGTTTCATAAAGTTTATGCAATTTGGATCTTAACATTATGAGGTTTGTTCAAACTCTACCTGGATTGTAGCTCTGTGTTTTTGAGTGAGTTGAGAGTCTTAATTACCACATTCTTAAGTGATCTTTCCTTTTTAAAAATAAGATCAAGTTCCTACATTAAGTAGAAAGTATTAGCATGCAATGCAAAATAAAAAATCTGGGCTGTGTATCAGAGTACCTTTATTTTTAAATAACATTGCCAAAGAACTGGAGCCAGAATTACTCTGTATTGCTCTATAATCCAGAATTACAGAAGTTGGATGTATGAGAAATCATATCTTGAATCAGCATATGTATTCAATCTTTTGAAATCTTTTCCCCCTGAAGCCAGAGTACAGCAATTTAAAAAGATCCAAGAATACTAATTATGTTAATAAAGGAAATGTAGGACACAACTAACTTGAGTTATTATTCAGTCATCATTTAAACCAGAAGATGATGAGGATGTTATTAATTTTAAATGCTCAATGATTTGGTAAGTTTTTATATTTCCAAACACAAAGTATTTGTGAAAGACAGTTGGGGACTATTCTGATCTATCTCCAGTGAAGTCAAAGAAAGGAAGTCATTTGCCAACTATCACTGCATATCTGCATGATAATGGGTGCTCTTTCTCGCTAGATAGCCAACTTTCCCTGTCAGTCTGCCCTCTGGTGTGAGTTAAATTTGTTTACAAGTGGGATTTGCTATAGGTATGATTTAGTTATTTATTTTTCTTAACTTGGACAACCTTACCCAGAAATGAAAGTAATATTCCTACACGGGCCAGGGATTTAGCCCAGTGGTTCCGTCGCCTGCCTTGCAAGCGCAAGAACCCGAGTTCGATCCCCGGTACCAAAAAAAAAAAAAAAAAATATTCCTACCCTATTTGGCCAGATCCATTTTTTGTTTTTGTAAACATGTATCACATCTATTTTCATTGCTGTAATTATGGATTGTAGACTTTAATTACACATTGATCACCTATTTCCATGAATTGACATTTATACCCTGGGTTATATGAATTTTCTTAGTCATTCACCTCTTTGAGGCATAGGTATAGATTCTGGTTATCTTTGTTGTAAATAGTGATGATATGAAAGTATTGATACACATCATGATAATTATTTTCTATTTTGTGATTTGTTTTTTCAACTTTTTATTTTGAAAGTTTTGAAATCCACACAAAAGAGGAGCACACATGCACCTTTTACCTAGGCTCAGCTATAGTAGAATTGACTATATTTCAGTTGAACCTTTCAGAGGAAATCTCACTAATTAGTGACATAGGAAAAAAACAAACTTGGGTGAAACAAGAGAACCAACTCAAAAAAAAAATTTAAAAAGATACAATGTTCATGGGGTTCACTCATTCAATAATTCCCCCATTCAGTTAAGGGAGTAGTACCTATCTTCTTGTCTCAAAAGCGTGCCAGTTTCTTAACAGATTGGAAGTTGTGTGCCATTCTTTCTCTACCATCAGATGCTCCCTTTCAAATACATATGTACTGATTGTGGATTTCTCAGGCCAGGCCCTTCACACCTCCACAATCACTTTAGAACTTCCTCCCCTTCCCCCTTCCCCCTTCTCCTTTTTCCCTTAACAAATCCTTGCACCAGAGGGGTTCAATTGATTGCAGCAAGGAAGCGGCTGTGCTATATACAAAAACCAAAGACTGTTTTAAATGAGATTTCCTGCCACCTGGTTTAAGAATCTTGTCCTGCCCCCCCACCCCGTAAGTTTAATCTTTATTTCTTCTGAACAAGGAAAGTTATAAAGGAGTAGATAATAACAGTCTGCTATCATGTACTTTAACTGCAGCACCTCAAAGTAGGCATTCTCCTACATGTTAGATGAGGCATAGAGAGGTTAATTAACCTGCAGAAGATCACACAGCTAATAAGTATTAGAAGGAAGATTCAAACTCAGGTCTGCCAATTTTCCAAGCACATCCCTTTCCTCTTCAAAGAAAGGTTTGCCAAAAATGGAGATGGTTACATGATACTTAATTTGTTTCTGGACTGTCCCTGTCAGAAGCTAGGCGATAGTGAGCATGCTCACAGCTGAGATAGCAAAAGTCTGAGCATGGATTCTGGAGCCCCCATGCCTAGATTCAAATTCTAGCTCCTCAGCTGTGTAGCTGTGTGACCCCGGCTCTTCAGAGACCCCAGCACATACTAAGTGCTGCCTAAGAGCTGCTGCTGTTGTTATTGGTGCATTTCTAAGAAAGAAGCTACTGCATCTAAAAGAGTTTAAGAATTTAAGTCAGGGGCTGGGGATTTAGCTCAGTGGTGCCACTGCCTGTCTTGCAGGCCTAAGGTCCTGAGTTCGATCCCCAGTACCAAAACAAATAAATAAATAAATAATTTAAAAAACAGACGAAGGAATTTAATTCATATAAGCAAATTGCCTTCTAAAAGATTGCATTGATTTATAATCTCTTGAAATACGTATATTAAGAAAAAACTCTTAAACAACTTATAAACGAATGAATGAAGTTATCAATGAATACTGTTACTGGTAGTTTAAAAGATATCTGTAGTAGCGATCTCTCATTGTTGTGTTTAAAGTATAGGGGAGAATTTGTTGCTCATGCTTTTTTCTCCAAGAACTCTCACTTATCCAACAGCTATGTATTGAATTCCTCTTACGGGGTCTTCATACCACTTCAGATATTCAGAAATCCCCCTAGAATTCACTTAAATTCTTGCCCCTTAAAGGCATATACTGTGTTCACATATACAGATCTCTCATCATCTTCTGCCCAGGACAGGAGAAATTTTAGCTGGTGGTTTATCCTTAGAAGAGAACATTATATATAAACTTCGGGCACAGCATAGGTTTTCAGACACACTCTGCTTATTTCCCAAATATGCTTCTGAAACCAGTATGCTTGAGATGCTATATAAAATGCTAATTGTGATATAAATTGACCAAATATGAAGAAAACTCCAAAAATCTAGGAATCTTGGCTAAAATATACATGTTTGAGATTTAAAATTACACGAGTTTATCAAAACTTTCCTTTTTAACATGAAGTGCAAAGCCCTGTTCTGAGACACCTAACGGCTATGGGCCTCATTTTATAAATATTCAGGCTTTCTAAAAGATACTGCTTTTCTTTTTCTTTTAAGGAAATGGGCTAGATTTCCCCTTTCAGTGTGATGTTTTGAGAGGAAATTGAGAATGAGAATATCCAAAAAGTAATACAGAATTTTATTGTACTTCTTGTATCTAGTGATCAATTTTATTAAAAATCTCAACTATAAATAAACTAATAATTTAGGGGCAAAAGACATTTGGAACTTTTAAAAAAGATTACAGCAGTATTAAGTGAATTTTACTATTTGCCCAGTACTTTTACACATATGTCTCAAACATATGAAATGCCATTATTACCACTTCAATTTCAGTGTAAAGAATAGAGATTAAATCAATTAGCCATTTTTCACAGGTGACATAGGTTTGGCTGGAACCAAAGTTTATCTTGTGCCCCAAACTGAGTCCTTAGGCTTTTTGCTGTAAAGCTTTTTCAGGTGCCCTTTTCTCTATTCTTGTCCCTACCTTTCTCCTCCACCTGACACCCCTCTGCGTCTCGGGCCTTAGGATTCTGAGAGTTGATAAACATTCTCTGTCAACCAAGACCTTCCTATGCTGAATGATCTCCATTGAAATGTCCTGAAACCTTTTTGGTGTTCATGATTTCACCCAAAGCAGTTTGAATTCTTTCTTTTGGTGTAGAGTTAGGACTTTTCCCTATATGCTAAAACTTTTTTACTGTAAAGCAAAAGAAGAAGGCTTACTGGTTTGCACACTTGTGGGACTCCCACCCATCAAACTGCCATCTATAGTTTGAGCTGTTGAGCTAAGAATAGATTCTCATTAAGGACAGTACTGCCTCCTAGGGGGAGTTTTGGAAACGTGAAGGGGAGATTTAGGGCATAGTTTATAGGTCTTTGCATGGGGAGAATTTCCCTCCTGATGTGTTCCCTTGATGCTACCTGTCACCAGTGCACAGACTGGTTATGCATAATGAGAGATTATCCCCCCACAATGTTCTAATATCCTCCATAGGTGAAAGACCAACTCATATATCTAAGCCTAAAAATGAACTATGTAT